TAATGCTATTCATGAGCATCTATCAAACTCAAGAATTTTGACAGGTGAACATGCCTAATAAAAAGAACATTAGTCCAGTTGTTAAAGAGAAGAAAAATTAAAATGTAAGCAATAGTCCTAGTTTCTTCCAAAATCATGTTGTTTCATTTTTTTACTTCCCATTTCACATTTTAGTTGTTTAGTTCCTAGCGTTGTATAAACATTATCTGAAATAAGGAATAGAAGTTTAGAAAGAAAAATGATTGAAAGTATGTGCTGGAGTTCAAAAGATACCTAATCATCTTTTCATCTCTTAAAAGAAAAAAGCCTAATTTTGAAAGGAGATTTCATTTGTAAAATTGACTCTGTACTTTATAAGCAATGTTTAAATTCATAGGTGATAAATATGCATCTTGGTATAGTAAAATCCCATTTTTTACATAATGCTTTAATGGAAATGGCAGTTTTATGAAATGAAAGTGACTAGTAAAAATCTGAGTGATGTTCATAAGCCTTTACATCATTTTTATTGAGGTTTTTGTGTATTCTAATTCATTAAAACAGGGGAAAAGGAGAACACTAACATGGTTTATTTCCTATAATTACTCAAATTGAATAGAATTTATTTTCAATAAAATTCTTAAGAGTAAATTGCCAGTGGTGGGGCGAGAAGGGTTGACCTGTTTTTTTATAAAATGTCTTGAGTTTTACTCATGAGACTTTGCTATTTTACCAGTGATGTTGTTCACTTGCATATATTTTCAGTATATTTCCCTCCAGATTTTTACAAATTATTACCTATGTAAGCCCAAGAAATCCCTAATAGGATTTAGTATTGAAGAGAAATCTGGGATATTTATTTTATCCTGCTTATTACTACAAATATTGTCTTTTAATAATTTAGACTACTTATGTGATGCATACAGGTTGAAACACTATTGAGATTGCTGTATAATAATGTAACTGAGGTGATTTCCAAAGCAGTTTAGTGTTTACAGTTACAATGCTTTATTTTTTTGTGTAGTACCTTGGAAGAAAAGGTCAATGTAAGGGATAAACAAATACAGCAGGCCCTCAATTAATGTTGTTTTGTTCAAGATATTTTCGATATAATGTTGATGAGATGCCTCAGGAACGGAGCTCTCGTTTATATCAATTAACCTGTGGCAAAATTGGTTTCATTCTATGTCATCTTGCTTAAAGTGGCAGGACATGTCTCCCATATGTGAAGTAAGGACTTAAATATACTTTAAAAATTTAGGCTCCCCAACTTCATGAAGTAAGGTGAGGAGGAGACACTAGAAATTGAGTTGAAAGCAAGTAAGTGTTCTTAATTTCATCATAATCTTGCTAGCATGCCTCTGTTTTGCTCTCAGTATACTCTAAGGCACCTTAGAAAAATCTTGCTTCTTTTGTTCTGTTTGCAGGCAATTATGAATTCTTGGCATTTGATCTGAGGCAGAATTTTGTTGAAACTCATAACTTTAAGCTTATGTCTGGAGAGCTTTAACACATGGTAGTTTATCACTCACCTTCAAATGGTCAAGTAAATACTTTTTTTTATCCCCAGGCTTTACATTTGCAAGCATATCCCTTTTTAGGTGAGTCTTTGTGTAGACACACATTTTTGTCTGTTTTTCTCTCCTTCCCCCCAGCATTGTGGGGCTCCTTGAGCTGGAGCTGTGCCTATGGAGTTCTTGTGATTGCTGGTTCTTAAGGGAACGGAAGGAGGGGGTGATAGTGCCTATATAGGTTTGTGTGTCGTTTGGGCACGAATGCATGTGTTTGTTTTCTTTGATCCCAGAAAACTAGGGTTGTGTTCAGCTATTCTTTTTTTCTTTCATCATTGCTGAAGTGATCTCCACCTGTAGCAAGTAGAGAGGACTTCACGGGAGCTCAGACTTTCTCCATCTTCACTGTGAGTCAGATTGCAGGTTCTGGAGAGTGGTGAAGGGTAAAGTCACAGAGAGCCACTGCCTCTATAATCCCCAAACACTGCCTCAGCACCATGTGTCCTGTTCCTCCCTTAATGCCAAGAACTTAATACAAGGATGGAGTGCTGTCAGCATCTGGCTTTCTTCCTGGTAGTTGAGAATCCTCTTGGGCCACAGGGTATCTGCCCTCCTGTGTAAGCATTTATTTTGCAACTAGGAGCCCAGCGCTTATTTGAAATTGCACGGCGCCACCCACCAGGCGCCAGTCCGGCCCTGCCTTACTCTCCAGGCCCTGTAGCAGCCATGGCTGCTGCTGATCAGGCCCTCCCCCCGCACAGGCGCGTGGAGGCCCCTGCCACTCCGCTTCCGGGCAACCTCCTGTCCGGTCCACCCTTGCAGCATCCTGGTTAATTAGCATATTTCTCTATTATATATATTTCTATATATACATAAGGAGATGGCTTAGAGTGTAGAGAGAGGGTTGTTTGTGCTGGCGTCAGTAGGTCAGATGCACTATCAAGGACTCTGCTTTTTTGCACATCTGGCCACAACTGCGTTTACCCAATGCCTTCCTGTCATGGCCTTCAGCCTGACTCCCAGAGGGAGGGCTGAAGGCAGCACTTACTGGAAAGGTAAACAAACGAACAACTTCTCTTCAGGCATTTCATTGTTGGAGGTGTCATTGACCATGAAATGAGAATAGTGTTCAGTATAAGTAACCCCAAAACAACCAGTAATAGAGTTGGTTGTTTTTTTTAATCCTCACCAGAGGACATTTTCTCTGTTTTTAGAGAGAGGGCGAGGAAGGGTAAGAGGGGGGGGAAGAAGAAAGAGAGAGGGGGGGAGAAAGGGAAAAAGGGAGGGAGGGAGAGAAAGAGAGAGAGAGAGAGAGAGGAAAGGAGGGAGAGAGAGATTGTCTCCTACACATACTCTAACCCCAATCAGGGTTGGGGATCGAACCTGCAATGCAGGTACTTGTTCTTGTTGGGAATGGAACCCAAGACCCTCTGGTGTGCAAGCTGAAGCTCTAACCACTGACCCACACTAGTCAGGGCAAGCTGGTTCTATTTTAATGACATATGCATCCTTAAAAATCACCACAAATAACAGTAAAAACCACACACAGGAAACTAATAAAAGCAGTAGCACAGTTTTACACACATTAAATGGTAGGAAATATAGAAATATTACAGTTAAGTATGGCACTTTACTTAAAAAGAGCTGATGTTTACCCATGGAAGTAGGCATCTGAGGAAGGAGGGTCACTTGCTAACTAGGGGACTGTGGGAACACCAGGTGTGATGGGCGTGGCTCCTAACCCAGGAGGTGGCCTGAGGCATGGGTAGTGGTTGAGATGTGTTGGAGGAGTGTATTTCTCTGTGACATGGTTCAGCAGGGTGCAATTTTCTGTGTTCACCCAGCGTTTCTTGCAGACAAAATCACGCATAAGCAAATGTGGAATTCATTTTATGCTCAGATTGTCCCCCTAATATGCACATCAATCACATTGTAACAAATTCACGGTTTCAAAATAAGCTTTATAATAGAACCAACTGTAGTTTATTTAATTTTGGAATTGAGTTTCTCTTCCTTTTTTCCTTTCTATCATTATTGATTTCTTAATTTATATTTAAGTTGAGCCCATACCAGATTAATTTTCATACTCTGAGCACCTCTAATGCAGAGAAAGCAGCCTGAGATTTTAATTTTGCTAGTGGTAATCTATGAGGTAGTTTCCCCTTTGGTGAAGGAATCTGTATATCTGTCTATATGTACACACACACACACACACACACACGCACACGCGTGCGCGCACACCTTTCCTAGATGGCTGGCATGGTGCCAGAGATAGCTTATAGTCTCATTAAAAAGCTGTCAAGTCATAGATTTAAGTGTCTTTGTTGGTTGGGTCGTCTTAGAGAACATCTGACAAAGCATCATTATGTATTCGTTAGTTTATCATACCTACCCACACACACCTTCCCACCCTATCTCCTATATCCTTGTAAAGAGCTTGCCTAGAGGAAACACAGACGATGTTATTGATTTACATGGTGAAAAGATATAAATTTGAAAAGGACCTAAGAGGTCTCATAGTGCAAACTTCCCACCTAACTTCTTAAACCCAGTGGTCACATGTCCATGGTATATTGGTAAATGGGAAAAAAGCAAGTTTCAGAATAGTGTTAATAGTATGATGCCATTTTTGTTAATGTTCTCTCCCTGCATGCACTGTTTGTATGAGCATAGATGATGTGGAAAGATCTCCCATATTGTTACCTCAGGGGACAAGGGAAAGCTTATTAACTTCCTCTTTATACATCTTTTATTGTTTGACTTGTTTTAAGAAGCATGTTTTACTTTTTTAATTAAAAAATCTAATAAAGTAGAAAATGAATAAATAATAATAAAATATACCCTTAGGACACTGAGCTTTCTTTCAATCTTCCCAGTAGCCTGGGTAGTTAAAACTGAATGTGATGTTTCAAGTGTGGGCTGCTCAGCAGGACTATGAACTTGCTGTAGCCCAGATATCATGGACTCTAAGGGCAGTACCACTGTATTGTTTATAGGCCACCAACACCTCAAAGCCTTTCTTACCTCTGCCACTTTGTCACTCCACCATTGACCATCACTGTGCACAGGTCTGGCCCTTTACACTCTCCCCTTTAGCTTTTCTCTTGTTATTGTGGAAATCAGTATTCAACATAGGTTAAGAGCTGGCCTTGGAGTCAGGCTGTCTGGTTGTAGAGCCTAATTATGATTAACTAGTGTTAAAACGTAGACAAGTAATGTGTCTTCCCAAGCTTCAGTTTTCTCATCTGTAAAACAGCAATAATCATAAAGTTGTGAAGGATGTTAGAATGCTCACTAGATTCTGGTGGTAAGGTGAGAACATGTGAATTTTACCTACTACTGTTAATGCATTAACCTCATTTCGTTTGTTACTTATGATAGTGAGATAATTTTGGATCTCACATCTTCCCTTAACCATATTCTATTATCCCTCCCAACCTCAGACTCTAAATCAGTCTTCTAGACGTTCCTCCTGAGATCCCCAATCAGTCTCTCTCTCTCCTTCCGTAGGTCCCTTCACTGATGTTGTCACCACCAACCTAAAGCTTGGCAACCCCACGGACCGAAACGTGTGTTTCAAAGTGAAGACCACGGCGCCACGTAGGTACTGCGTGAGGCCCAACAGTGGGATCATTGATGCAGGGGCTGCGATTAATGTATCTGGTAAGTGCTGAGATTGGAGGCTGAAAGGGTGGACTAAAGAGGCCCCCTGGAGCCAGTGGGATTTCTTAAAGGTTGTATTTGCAATGCAGCAAAATAAGATTTCTCCCCTCCACCCTCCAAGCTTAGTGGGTCCGTCTTACTTATTGTTTTTCCATAATTAATGCCTCTTTAGTTTAATGCTTACAGCCTTTGCGCCTCAATGCTTAGAGCAAAATTGCAGTGGTAACTTCAGACTTCAGAATGAGTTTGATTTTCACTCCCTTGAAATTTGCCCTTCGGCAATAAATAAAAAAGGGCCAAACAAACTTAATTTTACTTTGTGGGAGAAAGCTAAATGGAGTTATTTTCTTATTTAAGCTAAATGATTTCTGACATTAAGCTCATGTCATTTCCAATGACTGGTAACTGCACTTTACTGATTGTGAAAAGCTAAGGGAGACAGGGCTAAGGAAATTGGAATATATTCCAGGGTGTGAGTTTTGTTCCTGTCTGATGGGTTTTTCCCCTCTGTCTGAGAGGGCATATATTTTCCAAAGTCTAACTTTTGAAAAGATGCTGGTAAAGTGCCCAAATTGAAAATTGAATTTCAGAATTAAGGAGATAGAAGTGATGGGTTTGACTTTAATGTATTTTAGAAATGGAATAAACTTTTAGCTCATTAGAACTTCTGATCCAAGGATGCTTTTGTGTTTGTGAGGAGCTGTGTGGGCGTGTGTGTTTATCCTTTGAGTATCTTAGGAGACAGAGCCACAGCAGGCTCTGCATCATTAGAGGCCACTACTTGTTGGAAATGGGTACCTGGCTGGCTTTTTCCATGACAGATTTTGATTAGATGCATTTGGCTATTCACTTGACACCTGAAAGAAAATGATTCACTTCTTTGGAAAGATATGAGGTGTTTCATTATCTGATCATTTCTGCAGCTCTTATTCCCTGCATCCATCGGTCTCTCTCATTATGGTGTGCCCACACCACCTGTCCCCCTGTGTGCTTCTCTCTGAGTCTGCAAAGCCTGATCTGGACTCTTGAGTCAGCTTATTATTATCTAGGAGAAGTCAGGAGAGTAGGAGCCCACATTTACTGGGGTTGTCCAACACTCTGGGCCTGCACACACATTACCTCCTCTAACTTCTGTTCTCTGCCCTGTGAGGAGTACATTGTCATTTCCAAGTCAGACACTGCTAGCTGTAAGCTCAGGAAACTAACAAGTAACAGCAGGGTGTGGATTATTCTGTCTAGCTCTAAAGCCCTAGCTCTCTGATCTGTAGCACCCTGGAGAATGGACGTGGCCCAGGGTGTTGGTGCTTCTGTAGTCTTGGTTGGTTCCACAGGTTTAAAAACACATGAGTTTCCATTTTTCTGTTGAATTTAAGGGCAGCCTAATCTTTCATTCCCTTTTTTCATTGACTTTTTTTTTCTCAATTTCTATGCCCATATCAAATTTGAGCAAAATTGTCAGTAGATGAGAATTACCAGTTTTCACAGTAACTGTGGGAGCAGCAACATGGTTTTCTGAATAAAATAGGCTCAGCAGGCAGTTGTACAGTGTAGATGTTCTTTCTGATGTTAAAAGTGTGTGTGTGTGTGTGTGTGTGTGTGTGTTTCAGAAAGATCCATCCCTCTCCATCATAGAAATGTTTTTTAAAGTAATTACTAATCCTGGGCATTTGTTTTGATTTATGATTACCTGCTTAAGGAAGACCAAGACATTATGGATGTGGCCTTCCTTTGGCAGATCACTGCATGGTCATCTAGTGCAGCGGTTGCCAACTGGTGGGATGTCCGAAAGGTTGGCGACCGCTGATCTAGAGTCCCTGGGTGGGTTAGTGGCAGAGCTGGTATTTGAAGCCAGATGTCTTAGCTCCTGATCAGTGGCTCTAAGTTGCCTCTACAGTTTTAGGAGAAGGTCCCACTTACAGGTGAATGCCAAATATATAGGGCCCTGTTTCTCAGCATGTGATGTTCTTGGTGAAAAGCAATTGAATAATTATCTGTGTGTCTGTAAGCTTTCCTTCTAGATGGGAAGAATTATGTTTGCACATGGAAAAGGGCTCCTTGCTTTTTGTTTGATGTGTATTTATCTCAGTGATTGGGTGCCAGTGGGTGAAGTCAGATGTCAGTGCATTTCCAGGACCGCCTCACCTGTTGCAACCGGAGGCTAACACCCGTTTACTACAATTTTATGTTCTGAGGGGCTACTGTATCATTAATCAGATATTCATGTCTTGAGATAAAAGCACTGCACTTTTCCAAGGGTCCTGAATGCAGCTACACAATGACATCTTGGCGAATATGGGGGAGAAAACATCCTCAAAAAACATCCAAAGGCCAACCTTCCCTTCTCCCAGGTGCATGTGTAGCCAAGCTTGGTCTCACCCGCTCTACTCAAAGATTTGAGGTCTGGAAACCTGAATAGCAAGCCCAGTTCTGCTGTGTAACTTGTAGCTTGATCTCTGGTCAATCAACCAACCTCTCTAGGTTGTGGTTTTCTCATTTGTAACATAGAGAGTAGTATCTGCCTTACAGAATATTTACCATGCTGCCTTAACTGTGGACATGGGACAAGGGAGGGATTCCACTAGCCTTTATGTAAACTGGCTAGTTTGTTGTTGAAGGTGAATTGTACATTCTTGAATTGCTTTTTTAAAAGAAATAAACTAATTTCATTTCATTAATTTTTGGACTTTTTCTTATTTCAGTAAGAAATTTGTATTTTTCTTCTTTCTGTATTCTTCATTTGTTTTATAGTAAAAAGCTTCTAGTAAATTTTCGGATAAAATCTATAAAAAGGTGTCCATTGAATCAATTTAAAATATTGCCAGAACTGCCCTGCCTACCGTGCAGAACGTCACAGCATACCTGAAGAGGACGTGGTCTACAGGACTTGTCTCCCTCATCTGAAACACTGTGGGGTGTGCAGCTGTTAGGGAAGAGTGTAAGTCACTCCTGGAGGGGAGCGGGCAGGGAGACAGAGCATAGAGCATGGAGCTGGCCAGAGGGACTGAGGTTTTGAAGACTCAAGAACCAGGTTGTGATGTGGGAGCAAGAATTTCTAGCTGTCAGATGTTTTCAGACACACCTGTGAGGCTTTTCTCAGCTGTTAGAAAACCAATATTTAAGGGACCTTACTTTTTTAGTCAGAAGTCCAGATTCTGACCTTTTCTGCTATTTTCTTTAAAAGATGGCAAATCACTTAGGTCCCTAAAAAAATCCACCCATTTTGTTTTATAAACTTAAGTGGTAAAGATATGAATGGATATAGGCATAATCTAAACTTTTTGTGCCAGTAGGTAAAAATATGGGGGCACCCCAAGGGGTGTTTTGGAGCTGTCCACATGGGCCTCTGATTTGAATCCTTTCATTTACACTTTACAGAGGTACTCATCTCATCTCATTCTTACAGTAGCCCCTGCAGGGACCCAGGCCTGTTGGAGGAGGCATTATAAGGGGGTAGGAGGGTGGCAGGTGTTTTGCTGTTTCCATTAATTGACCAGAAGGCCATGATTTTGGCCCCTTATTCTCTGATACACACCATCTACTAGAGATAGTTTTGAATTCAACTCTGGACCTCAGCAAGATAGGCACATTTAAATGGAGATTGGATAAGAGGATTTGAATCCCCCCTCTCGCCCCCAAGATTTTAAATGCAAGGAAAATAGAACTTTTTGAATTAATGAAGTGTTTGAAGCAGTGGTGGGGTCTTCTCATTTGTTCTAGCTTTACAAAATTAAATCTGTTTTCTGAACTGTCTAATGGGAAAATATTTTTAAGGTAGATAATTTCTGAAAATGTCTTTGTGGTAAGCTGTTAGTAGTTGTGGGTTTTTTTTTTTAATACTGCAGTTTAATAATGAGGGAGTTTTCCATTAATATTCCAAACCATGTTTGCCAGCGGATACAGCAGGTGAAGTGGTAAAATTATGGGCCCATCAAAAATACTTACGCTTCCTGTAATATGATATTAAGCTTAATATTTTTATAACCTTCACTGAATTCTAATTTCACTAAAGTAGCAAGCACACTTCCATTTGCAGTTCAATTATGCACATTGGTTGCCTGTGTACCAAGCAAATTAGAAATGCAAAATCTATCTGTGTTAGGAGGGGCACTGGGAAGAGTCATTAACGATACCAGTATTTAGGTACAGATACACTTTACTAAGTATACCCTGGGAACTGGAAATGGATGAGAGACAAACACACACAAATCTCCTAGTGACTGAATATGTCGTTTAAATTATAATTCAAAGAATTCAGAAGCAGTATTCATTCCTGACAGATAGCTCTTTTCAACATTTATATCAATCACATTTAAAGCATAACGTTCTTCCAGTAAAATCCTGAGGACAGACAATGAATATCAGCAGCTCTTCTTGGATGGAAACATTGGTCAATTAATGAAATTGGGTAACATCACAATTGGTAATTAATCCTTTTAAGAGTTTGCTGACTCAGCGTGATGGAGCTGTTGGCTTGCCCTGGATCAGCCAACCTTGGCTGCAGCTTGTAGCTGACCAGCACCAGAGTGCAATTGCACTGCCCCAGAGGAAGAAGTCAGGGTTGTCTGTCTCATGCTGATACAGGGGAGCAACATTTGTGGGGTTTGGACATCTTCACAGCCATGTTCTTGTTGGTTTGCTCATTTGTTTTGGAATTGAAGTCTCTGATAAGAGAAACATTTTATAAATGGTTTTCAAGAACCAGGTTTATTACTCTTAGATAAGAACAACTCACATTCATATGTAAAAGATATCTTTAATCTTTTTCACCCTCATAAGATTCTAGATTTATAAAAACAAGGAAATTACCAACAAAAATTCAGCCTGATTGTGCTTTTAAATATTTTTTTAAAGTTTACTATAATATTTAAGTTTCTTATGAAGAATTGACAGTCCAGAGTGAATGGAAAGAGGGCTATGAGAGGCAGCCACAGTGGGGGCTGGAAGGAGCACTACAGAGAGCAAGTAGGGAGAGTTCGTAAATGACAGAGGAGCCTGGACTT